GGGATATCGGTGTTATTGGGAGGTGTTGGGGGGTGTCCAGGTGGTATATGAGGGTGTGGAGGGGGGTATCTGTTACTGGGGGGGTGTTATCTGGGTGTTATATGGGGTGTGGAGGGGACTTTTGTGTTTATTGGAGTGTGTCTGGGTGGTATATGCAGGTGTTGGAGGGTGTGGAGAAGCATGTTAGTATTATTGAGGCTTGTTGGGGTGTATGGGGGTGTCTGGGTGTTATATGGGGGTGTTAGGTGTGCAGAAGGTATCTCAGTTAATGGGTGGGTGTCTGCATCTGGACTTGCGTGAGAGTGTGCCTGGGTGTTATACAGGGGGTGCTGTGGCAGTGTTGGTGGTGTCTGTATGTTATATAAGTGTGTTGGTGAATGGAGAGCTGTATCTTGGTGTTATTGGGAGGTGCTGGGGGGGCGGTCTGGATGTTGGTGCCTGTGGGGGAGGGGTGGTTCTTGGTTATGTTGGGATGTCTGGGGCTGTCTGGCTGTTATATGGGGGTGCATCTTGGTGTTACAGGGTGTGTTTGGGTGTCTGTACCTGGGATGCATCTGGCAGACTTATGTGGGTATCTGGGTATTATATAGGGGTGTCTGGGATGGTGTGCGACTGCATTTGGGTGTTACATGGGTGGGTTGAGGTGTATGACGGATTGTATCAGTGTTACTGGGGGGTGTCTGGGACCTGCATGGTGGTGTTGGGGTGTCTGGAGGGGTGTGGGGGTGTATCTGGGGGTGCGTGTGTGGGTGTCAAGGATGTTGGCAGGGTCTGAGTGTCTGGGCTGTCTTGCATTTGCCTGTAGTTGTGGACATGTCCAGGAGGTGTTGGGGGAAATGGGAAGGGGGTGCGGGGTGCTGTGGCTGTTCGGGGTATCTGGGGCCGAGTTGGATGGTGTGTGGTGGTGTGTGAAAGGGTGTTGGTGTCTAGGGGTGTTATCTGGGGCTGTTGGGTGTGTGTGGGTTTTATTGGGGTGTTGAGAGTGTCTGGGACTGAGTTGGGGGGTATATGGGGTGTTGGGGTATGTCTGTGTGACTGTTCTCTGGGGGCATTGGGGTGTGTGTCTGGAGGGGTTGGGAGGTGTTTGGGTGTCTCTAGGGGTACCTGTGTGTGTTGGGGGGGTGAGGTTGTCTCAGGGGGTGTTGGGGTATCTGTCTGGAAGTGTTGGGGGTGTCTGGGATCTACATTGGGGGTGTTTGGGTGTCTGGAAGGATGTTTGGGTGTCTCTACTGTTGCCTGTGTGTTGAGGTGTGTGTGTGGTCTTGTTGTGAGGGTGTATCTGGGGGTGTTAGGGTGTCTGTGATCTGTGTTGGGGGGTGCTTGAGTGTCTGGAAGGGGGTCCCTTTGGGTGTTGGGTGTATGTGTGAAGTTGTAGTGAGAGTGTTGGACTGTCTGGGAGGCATCGGTGGGGCTGTATATGGAGGGGGTCCATGTGTCTAGGAGTCTGTGTCTGAGTTGCAGGGTATGCAGGGTGTTGGGCGTGTCTGCAGTATGTGTTGGGAGTGTCAGGGCTGTGTGTTGGTGTTGGGGAGTGTCTGGGGGGTCTGAGTGTCTGGGAGGTGTGTGGATGTGTCAGGGGAGATTGTTGGAGTGTATGTGGCTGTACTAGGCTGTATCGGGGGTTGTGTATGGGGGTGTGCATCCAGAGGTCATTTAGGGCTGTTAGGGGTTGTTGTGGGGTGTGTAGGGGTGTATTTTAGGCTTTTGGGGTGCCTGGGGGGTAGTGGTGTGTGTGGGGGTTGTTTGCTCTGTGTTGGGGGGTGTCCCAGTGTCTGGGGGTTGTTTGCATGTCTGGGGTGTGCACGGCTGTGTCTAGGGCACCAGGTATGCATGTGGGGGGGGGGGGTTGTTAGGGTGTTTAGGTGTGTTGCATGGTCTGGGGGCATGGGGAGGGAGTGTTTATAGGGGTCCACGCATATTGTGGGGTGTTTGGAGTGGTTGTAGGGTGTCATCCAGGGGACACTGGGTTGTGTGTGGCTGTGTCTAGGATATTGAGGTGCATGCGTGTGTGTGTGTGTGTGTGTGTGTGTGTGCAGGAGTGGTGCTGGAGTGTGTATCTGGGGGGTTCGGTGTGTATAGAGGTACTGTGTTGGGGGTACCTAGATTTGTATCTTGGGGCATGGTGTGTGTGTGTGTGTGTGTCTAGGGGTTTCTGTGTCGGGGGGTCTAGGATTGTTGTGAAGTGTGTGGAGGTGTTCAGGTGTGTATCTGAAGGTGTTGGGGGCCTGTGTGTGTGTGAGTGTCTGGTGCTGTGGGGTGTATAAGCATGCTGGGGTTGTTGTGTGTGTGTGTGTGTGTTTAGGAGTATCTGTGTTTGAGGGTGTCTGGGGTTGTTGCTGGACTGTGTTTTGGTGTCAGGGTTTGCAAGGGGAGGGAGCTGTCTGGCGGTGTGCAGGGATGTTTCTGAGGGTGTTGACGGGTGTCCCAGGGCCATGTGTGTTGGGAGTGTTGGGGGTGTTGACAGGCACGCTAAGTCTTCTGTCCAGTGTCAGGATGTGTGTCTGGGGGCACCAGCGATGGTGAGCTGTGTGGGAGGGTCTGAGGGGTGGCATGTGCGTGTGTGTCAATGTGACTGTCCCTGTCCAAGGGGGGGCGGTGTATATGGTGTCCTGGACACCTGGGTTCTGTGTGTGTGTGTGTGTGTGTGTGTGTGTGTGTGTGTGTGTGTTTATGTATCCAGGACGCCTGGTGTGTGTGTGTGTGTGTGTGTGTCCCTGATGCCTGGGGGGTGTGTGCATGTGTGTAGACTCCCTGGGCCTGCACACACACCTGAGGGCATGTGCCAGCAGAAGTGGGGGAGGAGACTTGGGTGCACAGGGCCAGGCCCAAGCCCTCCCCCCCAAAGGGTTCCTGTCCCTTTAAGGCCGCAGAGCTGCCGCAGGGAGCAGCAATTGGGCGCCCTCTGGTGGGCGCGGGTGGGGCTGCAGCTGCAGGGGATGGGGGAACCCAGGCATCCAGGCTGCCAGCACCACCCCCTGCTGGAGGGAGCCCCCCCTTCACTGCAGGGAGAGAACCCAGGCGTCTTGGGAGTGGGGGGTGGGGTGGGGTGGGGTGCCGGTTGGGGATGAGGGGCACCATTGGGGAGGCTGCAGGTCAGGAGTGAGGGGCACCAGTGCGGGGTGGGCTGCAGGTTGAGAGTGAAGGACACCACTGGGGGAGGGGTGCTGCAGGTTGGGAGTGAGGGGCACCGCAGGGGTGGGGGGGGTGCAGTGTCTGCAGAGAGGGGGGGGCCCCCCGCCTGTAGCCCCCCCCCCT